ACTCTCTCCATCAAGTAATCAAGCAGACTTATGACTGCGCTAAGCTCATGGACTGAACTCGACACCATAATTGAAAAGAGAAAAATTTAAGGATTTACCTCATCATCATCTTCATCATCATAATAATAATGATAATCTACAACGTACGCGATGGCTGTCTGGGTTGGAGATAATCAGGCGGAGTTATTCAGAGCATTAGAAAGAGAAAACTGCCGTATTGCCAGGATTATTTTCGTTTTACCATCGGACATGCCCTCGGAAGAGATCTTAGCAACAGCCAAGTAGAGCAACTCGGCACATCTATATAAGGTTTCTTTAACTGAACTTCTCTGTAAAGGATACTTTGGATTACTCGTACATGGTCTGGTTAAACAATTGATAAACCGCAACTGTAGATCTGCTTTGAATGAAGCACGTACTCGTATCGCCGAGTCTTTCTTCAAAATACATGCAAAATTCTATCTTTTGTACGGAGGGGCCGTCCTTTGGAATGCATTAGGACATTCTTAGTGATGGATCGGTCTTTTAATTGACTGCAGAAACATCAAGTAGCTTCAAGTCTTTAGCTGTGTTTGTATTTCAAGCTGTATACGTAGATGTACTGTAATGTTAGTTGCGTGAGTGTTAGTAGTGTAAGTTATGTAACTGACTGTATTGTATGCAAATAAAAGTTTATTATATATAAAAAAAAAAAATTTAAAAAAAAGTAGCTTCAAGTCTTTTGTGAAAAATCTTCACAAACGACTAATTACAGACTAATGGAAATTAAATGTTTTTAATCTTAACAAGAGTTGTCTAACTTCCTAGTTTAATGTAGATCTCAAAGGAAAAATATACGTCACCTTGTGGCCATTATCAAATGCAGACTAAAGTCGTTCAGTTCAGACATATACTAACTTAGGTGGTAATGGCGACAAGATGACACCGAAACGTCATGTTATAGCGTTTATTTTTTCCTATAAAATGTTTTTTCCGTATCTTTTTTGATGTAGATTTTTCCTTTTTATTGTAAATCAAAACATTGAACTTTGATAATCGTTTTGTTTTATTTAGCTGGCACGCGACCCCACATGCTGAAACTTTTGCCATGTAATCGTGTCTTTATAAAGGTTGTATGTATGCATTACGTTGGTAATACAGACCCAGGCTTTAGATGTTACTCAAAGCTTTATTACTACAGTGTATGTATGTATTGGTTCTCCCTCCCAAGTGCCCACCTACTAAGGGGCATGCATCTGTTAAGTGGAACC